TTTACCTCCTTTACCTTTGCGCTACCGCTTTGCACCCGTCCGCTACCACCATTAATTCGATTTTCGAATGCACCTTTTTTACGTGCGTAGCAAAATTATTACTTTGCACGTGCCTTAAAGGTTGGGGCCTTTTAAAGCACAAACAAAAAAAATAACGCACGTAATGCACCGAATAAAAAAACGCTAATAACGGGCCAGTAAAAAAAAGTAACAAAAAAATAAAAAAAGGGGGGAAAAAAAGGTTTTTAAATGCTTTAAACCATTTGGGCAAGCAAAATAAAATTAGCAATTTAAACTTTAAAACGATAACGATTAAGCCTAACAAGCTTTAACAAATTACATAACGAAGCAATTAACCAATTAATTACAAGCAAGCAGAACGCGGCTTTGTTAGCCCTTTGCAAAAGGGGCTGTACGCGGGAAAACGGTTAATTCCCGGGTAAAGCTTTTACAAGCAATCGAGCGTAAAAAAAAGTAAGCGTTAGCCAAAGCGGTTTAACACCGCCACAAAGGCGCACCGCCAAAAAGGCGGGAACGCAAGCATAAAGTTTTTCCTTTTTAGGCCCAACCCAAAGGTTTTCCCCCATTTGCATGTATTTAGCCGCAGCATTAAGGTTTCTTCCATAAATATAACAGCGTATAAATACAACAAATTAAAAAAAACCAACGGGTTAAAGTTAAAATTAACCTTTAACGTTGCTTAATTAAAAAATAAAAGAAAAAAATTGGGTTAATGCAAAGAAAAAGGGCTGGTTGCCGCTCCGGCAATAGCTTGCGCTCCTTTTTCCCGCTTTACCCGTTTCAATTCCTTAACGCTATTAATTTTTCGACGAATAGCACGCATTACTTTTTCCAATTATATGCGTTTTTGTTTGCGCAAACGCAATTTTTTTTTTTTAGCAACAACCAATTTGGTTTTTAATTTATTGTGTTAAAAAATTATATGCCGCAAATCGTTAAAAAAAACCAAAAACGTTATAACCCGAACAATTAACCCGCAAACATTCGGTATAGCGAAAAAAATCCAAAAAAAAAGCTTTATAAATTTCGCGCCTTTAAAATTTACAGTAAAAATAAAAAAGCATATTAATAAAAAAATAAAAAATTAAAAGCTTTTATTAACGCAAAATTTTTGCAGCAAAATAAAGCTTGCATATTTAACCAAACATTTTGTTAAAAAAAAAAGGATAATAAAATAATAAAAAAAAAAGTACTTATAATTAACAAAAAGGACGGGGGCAAGCAATAATACGTAGTTAAAAAGGTTTGGCTATTAAAAAAAGGATTTAAAAATTTGTTGCAAAGCAACAAATCCCAGCGAAAATTTTAAGATTTATTATAAAATTACAAATCCAAAGGATTTGTAAGGCCTTTACAAATTTAAAGCTAGAAACTTACGAAAATTAAGTATAAAAAGGAATGGTTTTTTATTGTTTTAAATAATTTTTAATAAATGCACGGGCATTAGTTAAATTTTGGTTGGTTTTTAAGTAATTTTTGGAGCAAGCATTTAAACCGCACCCAAATTACTTTGTAAATCCCTTTAATTTGCTAAATTACGTGCTATTGTTCGATACTCCTTTGGTGCTTTACCTTAAAAGCGGAAGCCTAATTGTAACACGTGGGCAAAAAATTGGAAGGGAAAAAATTAATAATTGGTAAAAATATAAGCATTTTAAATTAACCCTTTTATTTTAATAACAAAAATATATAATTAATAAAATTTAAAGGTTTTATTTTAACAAATTCACCGTTTAAAATTTTCCTAATTTAAATAGCGATAATTAGGTTTTTCGTGCCCCCTAAAACAAATATTAACGATATTTAATTAAGCCAAAAGTTTACGTTTATTTAACGTTATTTTGCATGGTTTTTAAGCGGATATGGAAAGGGGGTTGGTTCCCGTTGGTTATTATAAATAAAAACTTTGCTACCAAACGCAATAAGTACTTAACAAAAAGCTATATATAAGCATTAAAGGAATTTGGGTTTAAAAAAAACCTTAACCAGCACCCCGAGCGTTTTTTCCAGCAAAATAACGTTAAAATATATATATTAAAAGCGGCTTTGGTTTGGTTCGAAGGTCGAAAAATCCAGCCAATTTTGTAGCTTACCCATAGCCCGGATATAAACCCCATTAAGCACGTTTGGAAAAAAAATGAAAGAAATTTTGCGGAAAAACGCCCTTAACCTATACGAATTGGGTGGTAACGAAGCAGATCGAGCCAAATTTAAAGCAGCCCTAAAAAGTGCGTGGAATGCAATGCCACAAGCATTTATCGACGGCTTAATCGATTTTATGCCCCGGAGGGTCGCTGCATTGAGGGCTGCAAGGGGTTGGTATACCAAATATTAAAGCCCAATTGCCGGGCATTGTAATTTATATTTTACCTTTTTATTTAACTTCGAATTGGGTGCGTTGTGCTTATTTGAAGTAATTTGGTTGGAATTGGGGTTGTAGCCGATTGTGTTTTTTTATCCAAACTACTTCTGTGGGACTGTACTGTAGCGCCATCTCAGTCGAACCCCGCCGTTCTGATACTTATTCGCTCGATTTCGTCTGACATTTTGGACAAGGCTTCGAGCACCTGCATTGCCTTGTCGCCCGTCGACACGCCCCAGTACTTCTTCATTTCCGCAATGAGATCACTGCAGAAGGTCCTTGTGTACCTCGTCAGCCACGGGTAGTAGTCTCTGACCCACTCCCGCCAGTACTTGACAATCTGGACCTGGCCGGCCGGGTTGTTCCGGTTCCACTCCGTCTGCGCGTGCGCGAGCTGCCTGCCGACGTTGTTAACCACCGTCGTCAGGCGGCCGTCGGGGTCCGGGTGACTCTGCATATTCAGGTAGTTGATGGTCGAGATGGCTGCCCGCAGCTTGCTGAGCACTTTGTCGGCTGCGGTTTGGTCCGAACACATGGCAGTCCACCGTCTTCGATCCAAGACATCTTTGCCCATTGCCAGCTGCCACCCAGTGTCAAAAAAGAGTTAGCAACTTCCTGCCCTCTTTTTCCCCCGTGCGCACAGGGGAGAACAAAGCGAGACTGACCCTGCCCTTGGCGGCGTTAATGTCCTCGTGGACGCCGCTGAAAGGTGCGGTGTTCTGCCTGCTGCCCAAGCATTCCATGACCCGGTCGAACAGCAGCACATAATTGTTTCCCCCAGGAAGGGGAGGCGGCGTTCCCGAGAACGGCATGACGCTTGCGACGCGGAAGAAACTCATGCTGACCGCGCCAGTCCTGGCCACTGCGCCACTCCTCAATCTGTTTTTTTTTGTCTTGTCAGCAACATGAATGGGTGTTAGAATGGAGAAGAAAAGCTGCAAGCGACTACTTACGTCCCAGCTGCTGCGTTCTCCAGAAATCTAGCCACGACGTTGCCGTCGAATGGGTGCTCGACTGCAATTCACAAAGCATCAAAAGTTTTAGCTCGAGGGTCATGGTGCACGAAAATTTTGATACCCAGTCAACGCTTACTCTGGTAGTACCGTCCGTTGGGCGTTCTTTCGAGGCCCAGCTGGAGGTTCCCGCAGTCGTCGAAGCTGGCGTAGTCAATGAGTTCGTCAAAGATTGGATGGTTTAAGGGCCATTGCGATGGAGAATCGTACTATTTGGCATTTTATCGTTAGAAAGGGGGCCTTGGTCGAGAACAAGGATGGTTCCAAAATACACCTACTGTTGGCAAAGTAATTGTAAGGTCAAACGTCTGACCCTGCGCGTCCACGAGGTGGGCCGTGAAGTCTCTCGCGCTGGACCACTGCTCGACCCAGTGGACGTCCCTAGGCGCCCTGCTGACCGCCATGAGCTGCTGCGACGGCGTCAACGAGCGCCGGCTGAGGATGGTGCCGCTGCAGTCGCCGTCGGTGCGGCAGAAGCCGTTGATGCAGTCGACCTCCTTGCTCCCGCCGACTCGGCCCGCCCAGGTGTAGGGGCTGCAGACCAGGTCGTGGCAGAACTGGATCGGGCTGTCCTTCTCCCACTCGTGGGTGTTCTTGGCAAAGGGCTTCAGCTTTTCCACCTTGAGGTTCGACCACTTGCCGCCGATGTGCTCGTCCCACAGCTCGCCCATGACCTTGACCATTTCCGACACCACCCTTGCCGTCAGGATGTTCAAGCAGAGATCCTCGGTCGCCGACTGGCCGGGGTTGGTGGCGCGCTTCACCAGGGCGCTTGGGTTCTGGGCGCCGCCGTCTCCCAGGAGCAGCGGCGGTTCTGGGGCTGGCACCGCGGCGGTTCGCCCGTTAAGGATCGACCCCGGGTTGCTGCAGTACGGGTCCTCGAGCCACTTCTTCAGCGCGTTCTCATAGGCGTCCAGCCTGTCGTTCCTCTTCTCGATCGTGTCGTAGTAGACCGGGACGCAGCAGTTGGCCTTGCCACCGCCCTTGCAGCCCTCGGCCTTGGAGTCGAGGGCGACCCTGACGCGGTCGCTGGGGCAGTTGTTGCGGCAGAAGCCCTCGTCGCTGGGGCCCAGGCCGTAGTCGTACCACTTGCAGTCGGAAAAGGTGGCCTTCTGGTTGTTAGCGTTGCAGCACAGGTTCGTCTTTTTTTGGCTGAAGCAGTTTGCGCCGCCCATGCCGGTCCCGGACGACACTAGGAGCGTGTTCTGGTCCGACCACTTGGTCTTGGCCCACTCCATCGGGCAAGTGTTCCCCGCGTCGCACCCGATGTGGCAGTTCATGTAGAGCTGGAGGCTCTTTGTGTCCCGCGAGCAGCACGCGTGCTGCCACAGCCCGTTGTTGCAGTACTGGCTGTTGCCGCCTACGACGCCGTAGTCCTCTGGGCACTCGGGGCTGCAGCGGCCGTTGTTGTGGCTGTACCACCCGCACTTTGGCAGCTTCTGGTCCGACGGGCAGCAGAAGGCGTGCGAGCCGATACCCCCGCAACCGCCTCCGTCGAGCATGTACTCGTCGGTCCTGGCCCCGGGGTCCTCGCGCTTCATGTGGATCCAGCCGTTCGGGCAGCCTTCGCCGCAGTTGGTCCATTTGCATTGCTGTATCGGTTTCTTGGTCGGCTGGTACGTGTCATCTGAGCCGTCGGTCACGGACAGCACCGCCGTGATTTTGCGGTTGGCGACCTTGGCCAGGGCCTTGCTGTACTTGGCGTCCTTGGTGTCGTGGCTGATGGCCCAAACCATCAGCCCGCCGAGGCACATGGATTGCGCGTACTCGGATTTGAGCTTGAAGGTTTCCTCGTCGTCGTACGACACCCACTGATTGCCCCAGGAAGCCACTTTGGATGCCTCTTTTTCGTACAGTTTGGGCTTGACTCCGTTCTTTTCAACCAGGTCGTCGATCTCGGAGTTGAGCAGGATGCCAACTTCCCTGCTGCACTCCCCCATTTCAGCCCCCGATTCGAACGTGCAGCCCGGCTCGATACAGGATGGGCTGGTCACGGTGAAGGCGCGGCCATAAAAGCCAAGGCCAAGAACAACGGTGCCAGGATCAATGTCGTTTCGCCAGATCAGATCCAGGGCTTGGTCGATTTCTGTCAGGTTGGTGTGGGTGTTGAGGAAGGCGCCTGTCCATTCGTTGCCTTTGTCCCATGTACCGTGCAAGTCGTAGGACCTACAGATTCGGTTTCTGTTAGCTGCTGGGACTCCTGGCCTGATCAGGGGAAGCCGCCTAGAACACTCACATAACATTGAACCAGTCGACAGATTTTGACTGCGCGTAGGTGCTAGTTAGCGGTGTGTCAATCTTGAAAGAAAAAGCCTGCTGTGGCGAACGAGGGGGGCATACCAATGCTTTGAGATCAAAGTGCTGCAGATACCAGTAGGATGCCGGGATCGTGATCGAGATGCCCTTGTTGCTCGCCCGCAGCGAATCCCTTAGGCGAGCCATGAACTTGGGGAAATTGTCAAAGTCCACCTCTCTGCCGGATCTATCATCCGCAGCAGGATACTCCCAGTCCAGGTCGACGCCGTCAAAGCCGTAGGTAGACATGAAAGATATGAGGGATTCGATAAAAACCGTCTGTCGAGGCACCGAAGCGGCAATGTCGGAAAAGGTCGTCGCCGTTGGGCCTGGGTCGTTAAACGTCCAACCACCAATGGCGATGAAGATCCTGAGGTCAGGATCCTGCTTTTTGATCAGCATCAATCGCCTGTAGAGGTTGACGTCCGCCTGCGTCGCCGGCATGACCTTGAACGAGACAGGGTCGATCGTGGCGAAAGCAAAGTTGATTTGCGTATACAGCCCGATGGGGATCTGCTCAGGCCAGAAAACGTTGCATGGCCGGTTCGAAGCCCATCCTTCAAAGTAGCCGACGATGCGCGGGTTTCCGCTGTCCTTGGAGCATGTCTTGTGCTCAACCTTCTTGTCGTCGCAGAAGTCCTTGGTGGTCTAGCGAGGGAGGAAGGCATGGAGGTTAGCGAGATTTTGCTTGGGAAACATCTCGGCCCTGCTGGACTTACACCGCAGTATCCATGCTTGGAGCAGCAGACATTCAGAGGGCACTTGTCTCGCTTTGGCCACTCAGACCCATACCCCGGATTGCACTCGGATTTGCGGCCACAGTCTGAGATGCAGTTTGCGCCACAGACTTGACGAGGGCGACGGCAGGTTAGTTTGCTTGCTCGACCAATGGTCACAGGCCGGGCCTTAAAGTCACTGCAGCCAAAACTTACAGTCCGGTCCGAAGCCACAGTTTCCAAACTTGTTGCAGCATCCTTCTTTGCAGTTGCTCGTGGGACTGCATGTCTGGCTGACAACCAGCCCAGAAAAGAGGGCCAGAAGCAGAAGCGAAAACAGTTGCATAGTTGCAAGGCCAGTTCGACCGGTTCGACCGGTTCGTGCCTTGCAGCCACCTGCTTCGCTTATAAACGATGTCTTGTTGTGATGGCACAGCAAAGGAGCCAGGTACACGGTAGCTAGTATGGCAAAGAGACTCCGTGCCGCCGTGGAGTCAGAATCTCCTCGAGGGATCCCTTCGAGAGGCGCCTCCTATATGGGCCACAGGGTGGCCCGTACAGAGTCCTAGGGTGCGTATCTAATTGTGGGCTGGGGTGCCAAGCGCCTACAGCTGGTCGTTTGTCATACAAGATGTATGTGGCTTGTTGGTGACGGTCCAACCCCAAGGCGCCTGCTTATCCTGGTCTTCTGACTGGCCTCTTGCAGGCCCAATGTGCCTTCCGCTAGTCACAGGGACGATCCCCGTGTGACAGTGGCCCGGGAGAGTCACTTTTACTCAAGAGATTGGAAGTCCCCTGTCGTCCATCCTCCCCCAAGCTTCTCAAACGACAGACACCGACCGCCAGCCGACAACTTCCAAATGTATCCTCATCTCGCCGTCTGTCTCGTCGTGGCTTGTGCCTCGCTGCGGGCAGTAGCCGGCTTCACGCTCTATGAAGCTTCAGCTCTGGGCCCTGAGCTTGGGGACAGCTGCATAAACTCCTTGACGGCAAACATCGACTGCCACGAGCTTGTGCGCTCGTGGGACACCCCATCCTACCGCCCGTCTTTGGGCAATGTTAGCCTGACGGACGAGGTCTGCGCGGGGACCTGCGACGGCTCGCTGAAGTCCTGGTTCGGCGCGGTCAGCTCTAGCTGTGCTGGCAAAGCTCTCCATGGCAGTGTCGCCACGAGGCTAGGTGGCTACATGTGGGCAGGCTACAACGAGACCTGTGTGAAAGACCCCGGGGCGCGGCAGTATTGCAACGGTAAATCCTCTCATTCTCCCAAAGGACCATATCACATCCAGGCGGCCTGACTGACGGAGCATACCACACAGATATCATTGCAAACTTCACTCTGGTTCCCAGCTACACCCAGATGCCGCAGACGGAGCTTTGCCACACTTGCTACATTCGCCGGCTGGCCTTTATGCAGTCATCTCAGTACTCAATCTACGACGAGTTTTACAAGGTAGAGCTTGAATACGTCTACTCAAAGTGCGGCGTGTCGGGGCCGACCGACATCCCTCCGCCTCTCACGGTCGGGGACCCGCCAGCGGCGCCCTACTGCGTCACCGGGAAACGCTACACCACCGCCGCGGGGGACACGTGCGAGTCCATCTCCAACAAGACCAGCGTCTCTTCGGCAGCACTGTACATGGGGAACCAGGACCTCTTGCCGGACTGCAGCAGGGTCTGCGCGGGCCTGTCCCTCTGCGTACCTATAACCTGCCAAACGTACTATGTGCGGCCGGCAGATACGTGCGCCACCATCGAGGGGTCGCTGGGCCTCGAGTTTGGCATCCTGCGCAACTACAACTCGTGGCTCGACTGGGAGTGCGAGAACCTGCAGCCGGCGACCGACTTCTACGGCAAGATGATCTGCGTCAGCCCCCAGGGCGGCACCTTCACGGGGACCGCCAGCCCCAAACCGCCACTGCCGACGGGCGTCTCGGACGGGTACACGGAAACGCGTGTCCCACCGCCCGAGTGCGCCACCGTCGCCCAGGGCACGACGCTCAACTGCGGCAGATGGCACGTCGTGGCGCCGGGGGACTCGTGCAGCTCCATCTGCGTGCAGGGGGGCCTGACCATCTCGCTGTTCAAGACGGTCAACCCGTCCGTCAACGCGGGCTCCTGCTCCCTGTCGCTTCAGGAGGGCACCGCGCTGTGCACGGGGCCGACGTACAAGTGGAACGTGACGGATCCCGCCGCCACCAATAGCTTGCTCGGGACGGCTTTGCCGACGTTTGTCGAGGCAGAAAGTGCGTCTAGAAGCACATCTACGGGGGAAGCGGGTGCGTCTGGAGGCACTTCAACCGAACTAGAGAGTGCATCTGGGAGCACAGCTACAACTTCGTCTCGGACGTAATGGCTTAGATCAGTGTAAAATAGGTAGTATCACCGGTGCCTGGGCAAGATTCACATCTCTGCTCGGCGTCGGGGCCTCTGCAAGCGAACGGTCACGGAACCTATAGACGCAGATAGGCTCAAGAAGGACGATCCCGAGTCATTTCATGGGCGCCTTGGCTCCATGGCCTGGCCGCATATTGATTCTCATGCGTCGTACAAATACATGGCCTACGAGTCCGAGTTCTTGAGGCTCAGCAAAAAGACCCGCGTTCTTGCAGGAGGTGTGGTGACATAGCATGACGCAAAGGTCTCTAAGATGGGGGTCAGCTGTTAATTTCGGGACGTGTAAGTGTATGCCGACGACTATGATCAAAGTGGCAAGGGGCCGAAAGCTCTCGGAGGCTAGTCTCACGTCAGCAGAGGGTAGTAAACACAACGGCATAGGCCGGGTCGACGGAGCAGGCTAGAACGCCAAGATCTAACCATCGGATAGGCGACCCTTCCTTCTCACCAGGAAAGTGTCCGAAGAGCTAGCTGAGGGCCGAATCCAGCTGCACTTGGGCCCGGCAGTTATATTACCTTTAGGGTTGGTGCCCAAGCAAGACGGAGCCTGGCGGCGGATTCATAACCTCTCGTAGCCACCTGGTCGCAGCGTTAGTGATTCGATACTGTCACGGTTCGGCAAAGGGAAGCCCTCCCCACCTAGGCCAAAAGGACACCAAGAACAAGCTGACACTTGTTCTGAGCTGGAGGGCTATAATGGCCATGGCGCTGAGCCACAGCGCACAGAGACGAATACAAGAGTGGCCGCGCGTCAACTATATTTAGGTATTTAACAGTGTTATTGCGTATCCCACCAAGTACAAACTATAACCCCTGCTTTTCCTCCACCGACTGTTTTAGTGCCAGCCGCTGCCAGTCAACTGCCCATCGTACAAGACGGCGTCTTTGCGCTCGGGATCGCTGGACTTGGGCGCAATCTGCTCCAGGTCCCGCGTTTCGAGGTCGCTCCACAGCTCCAGGATGCTCCTGGTGGTCATCTGCATCCAGCCGAAATAGTACTGCCCGATATACCAGCGCGGGTGGCGTGAGATGTAGTCTTCGGGCTCGTAATCGGCCTGGATACACCTGGCCCAGAACCTGCCGTTGCCGGCGTCCTCGAGCACCTGCGCGTCGGCGACCAGGAAGTGGCGGCGCTTCGGCACGCCGTCGTGCATGACCGGCGGCTTGCCGTCCTCGCCCAGGGGCTCCCCCGCCCTGTATAACTCGCGCAGGCGGTCGTCGCTCGCGCCGTCGAGCAGGGCGGCGTCCGAGTGAGCGTCGAGCCGGAACAGCGCACGCAGCCGTTCGGCCGCCCGCTCGGCCTCTGCGGCGGCGGCGGCCGCGCCCGGGCGCTCGCCCGCGTGCATCCTCGTCTCGTCCTCGGCTTGCTCGCGGATTTTGGCCAGCAGCGTCTGCCAGTGCTGGTCCGACTGTTTGCCGCCGTCACCGCCGCCGCCATAGGCCGTCCGGTAAATGGTGAATCCCCAATTGCGCCAAAATTCGTCGCGCTCGTATGCGTCTGCGGGAAGGCCGCCTTTGGGAGGGCTATAGAGGTTTTTGAGGGTATCGGGCAAGATCGACATGATTATGGTGTCGTCGGTGCCAAGGAGGGTGGTGTGGGTTGGGAAGGTATCTTAAATACTTGATATTAGCCGCCCTACCAAAATCTGCAGCAGATGTGACGCCGAACAACGTAGACCTCAAGAGCACTCACTGCGGGTTAGGCTTCAGGCCACTGTCGCCTGTGCGGCCTTCCTGTATATAGCCACCTATAGGCGAGAGAGAGAGGTGAGTGGCAGGATCAAGGCAGCAGACAGCCGGGGGTGGGCGAGAGAGTGGTGAGGGGCAGGATCAAGGCAGCAGACAGCCAGAAGTGGGCGAGAGTATTACCTGCGCACAAAAAGTGTAAATTGGGCAGCAGCCACGTAAGCCACACACAGAGCAGCCAGGTGACGGAATGAGGAGGTAGGTGCCAGGGAGAGTATGTGTAGAGGGAAGGCGGGCGGCGTGTGAACTTTTCTGTTGGGTTTTTGGGAAGAGTTACGGGGTGAGGGAGAAGGTGGGTGATGGTAGGCAGAGGGCACCTGTAGAAGTTTGGTTATTGGGTGCCTGAGGAAATAAGCGAGCTCTTGGTCGGGCGAAAAGTTTGAGGTCACCTAGGTGCTACCAAGGCACCTCCTGAGCAAGCACCCACCGCCCAGCACTGCTCTTTGCGATTGAACCATCCTTGATCTCCCGTCTACCTTGAGCTGCACCCCATTGCCACATTGTCTCCGCCTCCGTCTCCGTTTCTCTGTCTTTATTATTTATTATTTATTATTTATTATTTATTTTATTTTTTCTTCCACGCCTCCTCCCTTCACAATTACACCCTTCCACCCCTCCCTCCCCTTTTTACCTTCACCTCCTTACCGTTTTTTCCTCCACCCTTGCCTCTGCAGTCTCTTTTTTTATCCTTCCTCGCCTATCTCTCTGTCCATTTGTCCATTTGCTTGTCAGAAAGAGTTGATGGCTGAGCGCTGCAGCTGACTCTGAGGCAAGGGACCTGGTGTGGGGACTTGACTGCACTCGTTTCCTGCGCACATTTCCACGGAGCATAGTCGGACTTTTGAGGGCGACCAGGCAGTGCCTCCGGTCCATCAGCCCGCCTTGTAGCACTGATAGGGTGCAATAATTCTGCCCGTCTCCTTTCCCTTCCCCCAAGCGGCAACCACGCCGGCAGAAGTGTCTCGTTCGTCGGCGTCCTGCGTCCAAGTTGGTGCGCAAGCAATATGGCCACGCCGCCGGGTTTTGCATGGGACGGCGCCTTTGTTTTGCGCCTCCACCGGGAAATGTAGTGCTCGCGGTGAAAATGTGATCTAGCACGAGAGCAAAGGGGGGTAGAGGCATCCGTTTTTGGAGGCGAAAACCTCCGTTTCTGGAGGCCTGGGATCCCATTTGCTCTCAAAATCTCCCAGGTCAAGTGACCGCAAGAGTTGCTACCATTTGTAAATGCACGTAGCGAGTTAAATGATTGTAGATGTATTAGAAGATGATGAAGGAAAGGAAGGAGGCCAAAGACCGGATTTCCTGTGGGTAGCTATACTGCCGCATTCGTCAAAGTCACTTCCGCCTACAATTGACTACCGTCCAGTCATGACAGCCAGAAACGAAAGGCTCCGAGCTCACAGCCGTCCCACGGATCCTCGGCCCCTGTCAGCAAACACAGGAGCTACTGGAAGAAGGACCGCGAGACGGGTCAGTACTACCACAAGCAAGCATTCGGATAGGACTGTCTCTTGGCTTGGCGACGAAGAGGACGAGCGCGGCTAGCACGGTCTCTGAGACATCGGCCATGAAGGAGGGGAAACCTGTTACAACCTGCCAACCCATATCAGCGTTGTGGGCATGTAGCCAAGGCGCACGCAAACCAGTCGCCGTACGACGACGACTTTCGGCTGTAGCAGTCAGAAGGCCATCGCCCAGGGTCTTTGATGGCAGCCTGTGTTACCCGTCTCGGGGGTTGGGTCTTGGGGGTTGGGATGCATGGTGGGTAGCACACCTCTTCACCCACGAGCGCAGATTCTCCCGGGCCGAAGGAGAAGCACGATACCTGGGAACGGCTATTTGGAGGCTTCTTATTCCTCCAAGTGTCGAAAAAGTGGCAGGTCCGAGAGAAGCAGAAGGCAGCCAAGCGTTCCTTGTTGATCCCATGTTCTCATCTCCATGGCTAACACATGGGGCCGCCGACAGCGAGAAAGGATAAGAGTGCCATGCGAACACCAACACTGGGCTTGCGCGACGAGGCGCTGCACATGACCTCTCGAGAATGCACGTCGGCCCAAGAAGGATGGAAAGTCCAGACCATCCAAGAGGATTCAGCTCACCTTCTTCGCAGGGGTTGGCGGCTGAGCGAAAACCTGGAACCTGGGCCAGGGGAACATCGGATCAAGCAGCCATCGCCAGGAACAAACTGGATGGAGCCAGCGAGGGGACGAGGACAGCGAGACGCCGGCGCTGAAGACGGCTGGCCGGAGGGCTGAATGTTTTCCAATAGCGCCACGCAATGCAAGCCCACGCAGGTCTATGCTGGCCCATACCAGGGGTCCGATTGTTCTGGTTACTGGACTGCGAGGGCTGGTCACCTAACCGGCCGTCCACCCCCGTGGCGTCCTTCGCCGTCCAAGGTCCGAAACAGGCCGAGTCGAAGTACGAGGAGCGAGCGGAAACCGGCCTGGGCCCTGTCGTCCAGCTGGGCTTGCGGGCGGTGAGGCTCGGGGGATGGAACATGGATTTTCACAGCAGGACGGCGAGTTACAGAACGACAAAGACAAACAACAAAAAGACGGCCAGCTCGCAGCTGATGCCCGACGTCGTGTTGACCCGGTGCACGTCTGCTAGCGCGGGCAGACCGCAGGCAGCTGGAACCTATCAGGACGGCGACAATTGTCAGCCCAGGGGACCGTGGGCTGGAGCTGTGCGCCACAAACAGCAAGTATGTGTGTGTGCTGGCTTTCCTTTCTTTCTTCTTTCTTCTTTCGCTCTTTTGCTGCGCCCCCCGACCACGGCCCACGCTATCCCTGACGCGCGCCCCATTCGCGACCACCTTGGCGGCCGGTGCTCGCCAACGCTCGCCGGCTACTCGTCCAACATGCAGGTCGGCGCACTTGCCCACATGGAAACTACCGAAACATGCAGGTGGGGGCGCTGACCATTGTCCCCCACCCCGTGGCAGCAGACCGGACTCCCGACGAAAAGCTGGGTTTGGCATGCCACTAGAGCCGTTATGGGCACGACCTGTCTTGGGTCGCTCCATGCAGGCAGAGAGGCAGGCAGGCGGCTCTCGGCCGTGTCCCCCCTGGTCCCAACGCTCGCCCTGGCTAGGCCTACTTATCCAGCAGCGGTGGCTGTGCCTGGTTCCGGACCGCACGAACCGAGCCATCAACAACGCCCCTTTCGCCCCGTCGGAGCCTGTCCTATCGCCTCGTCGTTCGTTGCCCGGCATGACCACCACCAGGGGGCAGGATGACTGCTTCCGGCACGAGCGGGGATCTATTCCTGGCGTCGAACACGTTGTGCGTACGTCCCCCACGGACCATCCGACGTTGCCCTCCTCACAGCGAGCGAGCAGGTATATATATATGCCGGCTGCAAACCCCCCAGCTGCGAGGTTTCGGCAATGGGGCCTTACCACCCATCTCATCTCTTGGCATCCGTTCGCTCCACGATCCCAACCCGCCTGCCCACCCTCACTTTTGCTCGCTCATCCCTCCCCTGTTGCGCCACGCGCAACCGTGCCTTTCGCTTCCCGTCTTGGCAGAGCAACCTCCCCTTGTCAACCATGAGGCTCAGCATCACCCTCGTCCTCCCCAGCCTCTTGGCGCTGGCCGGCGCCGTCCCGGGCCCCAAGGGCGGCGACGACAGCGGCAAGTCTGGCACGCGCGGCGACGATGGTGGCCGCGGCGGCGGTAGTGGCAAGTGCCCCGAGGTCTGGGGGGCGGTCAAGGCGGAGCTGAACCAAAAGTTCATGACGGGCACCGAGTGCAACGGGCTCGCCAGGGCCGCCATCCGCGCCATCTTCCACGACTGCGGCTCCTGGGACCAGTCGCAGGGGCTCGTCGGCGGCTGCGACGGCTCCCTCATCACGGGCGTCACGCCCGACGTCGAGCTAGACCGGCCCGAGAACAGGGGGCTGCAGACCGTCGCCGCCTACCTCAAGGACGCCGCGGCCCGCCATGGAACGTCGGTCGCCGACATGATTGTCTTTGCCGGCAGTGAGTGACTCTCCCCTAGCATGGGAATGTTTGGGATCAGCACGAAAGCATGTTTTCAGAACTAACCAATGCCTACTCTCCTCCCCACCACCACCGCAGACGCAGCGACCGTGCTCTGCCCAGGCGGCCCGAGGGTCAAGACCTTCATCGGCCGCAAGGACAGCACCAACTCGGCCAAGCCGGGCGGCCTGCCCGACGTGTTCGACACGGCCGCCAACCTGGTAGACCTTTTTGCCAAGAAGGGCTACAGCCAGGCCGAGCTCGCAGCCCTGATGGGCGCCCATAGCACCTCGACCCAGAGGTTTGTCGATCCGTCGCAGGCCGGCAAGGCCCAGGACTCGACGTAAGTACTTTTTTTTTTCTCCTTCATTGACCAAACCGTGTAATGACAGAGACTAATCGGTATCCTCCCTCGAGGCAGACCCGGTCAATGGGATGTCAAGTACTACAAGGAGACCATCGACTACGCCAAGACGGGCAAGACGCCCAACAACGTCTTTGTGTTCCCCTCGGACGCCAAGCTGGCCACTTACCAGGACGTCGGCAAGAAGTTTGAGGGCTTTGTCAATAACCAGAACAAGTGGTCCAGCGCATTTGGAAACGCGTAAGTTTGCACACCCCATGCATCCGCTTCTCGGTCAGTGTCGCTAACGGCCTGCTCAACAGCATGGAGAAGATGGCCCTTTTCGGCAACGACAAGAACAACATGGTCGACTGCACCAACGCTCTGGGCTAAGGACTTGACGGCGTGGGGTGTGTTGTAGTCTGACGACGGCAAAGTGAGCATGCGGCTGCGGTGTCGGCTCAGGGGATTAACGTAATGATTTAATGATTCTCATATTATATCAATATCTAATCTGGTGGCTGGCTTTGCAAGGGCTGAAACTCCTCGAGCAGCGGGTAAAATGTCCCTGGAAGTAGCCCGAGTCCTCGGCGGCGCCCGACACGAGCACGGCCAGCATCTTGTTTGCCAGCCAGCACAGCTCGCCGCTGTGGCGCACGAGCCCGCGGCGGCTCAGCTCCTCGGGCGTGTGAGCCCTCCCCGCGCGGCGCGGTCCCAGAGCGCCTGCCAGCGCGACACGGCGCGCACGATGACGAGGGCGCGCTGGCGGGTAGCGCAGGTTGGCGAAGCGCGCGCTGCGGATGGGTGCCGTGGATGGCGAAGACGAGCACCTGCAGGGTCCGGCAGCGCCAGGTGCCGAAGCGGGAACCTCGAGGCCGCCCCCGCGTCGTCGTCGTTGTCGTTGTTGTTGTCGTCGTAGTCGGCCATGAGCGACTCGACCGCCACGCGGGACAGAGCAGCCGCGCCGCCAGGCACGACGCCGGCCCGCCGTTTGCGTCGACGGCGCGCGCGCGAACTCGGCCGGCCCGGACGCGTCCCACAGCTCGGCCAGGCACGCACGGCAGGTCGCCCGTCATCTCGAGCGTGGTCATGGACTGCGGGCAGTTGGAACATGCCGCTCTGCTGGCCCGTCGGCGAGGAGGGGTCCAGGTGGCGATGCTGCCGTGCTTGGGGCTTTAGCAATGGAGTCTTGTAGGGAGCAAAGTGTGTGTGTGTGTGTGTGTGTGTGTATGTGTGTGTGCTATATCAGGGCAGGCCGGTCCTACCGGATCTGCGTCCGGTGTGCACAAACTCGGCCCCACCGAGCCTCGGCGCTCATGTCGGCCGCCCCCTCCTCCCAGGGGCCGTGCCGGGTCCTCGACAAGGCCCAGGGTGCGGACGACAGACACCAGGGCCGGCAGGCGCACGGTACGGTTCCGCCGGCGGGCCAGGGCGCCACTCATGGTGTTCTCTGTATGCCGTGCATGATGAGCGCCGCCTGCAGCGTCTCGTGCAGCCTCGTCGTCGACTCCAGGCCCGTTGCAATACTGACCGGCCTTGGGCCCTACCACCACCACCACCGCCACCAGCCGCACCAGCAGCAGCAGCCGAGTCGGCCGCCTCCTCGGCAGCAGCCAGCGCGGCGGCCAGGCGGCGGAACGCGAGCTCCTCGGCCAGGTGGAACAGCCCGCGGCACGAGAGGGCGCTGTCGGTCGGGGGCGAGTAGAGCGAGCCGCACAGCACAACTACGGCCAGCAGCAGCAGCAGCTCGGGCGCGGCCGCCTCGACCGAGAAGGAGGCGCGGTGCAGCAGCGGGAAGTCGTGGTGCGTGTTGCGGAAGTAGCTCGACACCAAGGCTCGCACGTTGGGCCGCGCCAGCGCCTGCGTCGTCGTCGTCGTCGTCGTCGTCGCCGCCGCCTGCCCGCGCCCGAAAGGAGAGACGGCACCCCGCCGTCGTCGTAGGCCTGCCCGGACCGCGCGAACCAGTCGTGCGTCTCCTGCAGCGCGTCCACCACGGCCGCGATGGCCGCCTCCTGCGCCGCCGCGTCGGGCGCGAGCTGCTGCTGCCCAGGGCTAGTAGACAGCGCGTCGGCGTGGCAACCCTCTGCCGTGGCCGTCGTGAAGCAGCCGAGGTCCGAGTCGTCGGGCTTCATGACGTAAAAGTCGTCCAGGTCCATGGACTGCGGGCCCAGGCTCCAGGGGAAGAAGCTCGAGTTGGCAAAGAGGCCCCCGTTGGCGGCCAGGTCGCCCAGGATGCCGGGCTGGCCCGACGGCGACGGGAGGAACAGGTCCAGGGCGTCGTCGGCCTCGGTCGTGTTGCTGCCGCCGCCGCCGCCGCACGTCTCGCTCGTCGTCGCCATGGGCATCATCAGCAGCTCCTCGTCGCGCGCGCACCGGGGCTCGTTGATGAGCGCGCGCACCATGGACTCGGCCTTGGGGTTGGTCAGGCTGAGCAGGAAGGACGCGGGCCGCCATCTTCTCCTCGCCGTCCTTCTCGCTCTCGCGTGCCGTGGGCGTCGTCGCGGCAGTCGCCGGCCGTGTCCCCCTGCATCTCCTCGTCCCCCGGGCTCGCCGCGCCGCCGCTCCCGACCGCTGTCTCGGGGGATGGAAGCTGGTGCGGCGGCGTTACGCTCTCCATCCTCGTGCTGCCGACGGTGCTGTTGCTACTGCCGCCACCGCCCGCGTACGTGTTGGCGGCAACTGCTGGCGAGGTCGGCATTCGGTGAAGAAAGCAACCTCTCGTAGCTGCACTTGACGCCCCCTGGTTCTGGCAGCGCGAACAAGGGTGTTCGTTGTCGCAGGCCAGGCGGCTCCCGAAGCAGCCATCGCACGCCCGAGGCTTCTGGCCGCGCTTGGCGAGAGGCGGGTCGGCCTGCGTGCCCTCGCTGGGACACTGGAGAGAGTGCTTCCGGCAGACGTCCCTGGAGTAGTACGTCAGCAAGGAGTAACCTATTCGGCAATGCCCAAGGCCCCCAGGGCGCGCGCTGTGACTTGCCTGCGAGCAAACACTTTCGTGGCAGAACGGACAGTGGAATCTAGTGTCGCCCCCATCTGTTGCGGTCCCTGTTAGTTCTCACCAGCGCTTTTGCGTGTGTATCTTTGGGTGTCCGTGTCAAGCAGCCAGTAGCGCCGACCAAGGGGCGGCCACACGTACGCGTCATCTCATGGCGCCGTAGATGGCTGCTCCGCTGGTAAATCTTGCCGCACGTCGAGCACTCGTGGCCCGGTTCCGAGGACACGGCCAACATGTTGAGTCGTCAAGTGTGCCGAACCTGTCCGGGAAGGAAGACGGTCCTGTTTTGCGGTAGAAATTCTCTCGCGAGGGTGCTGCTGCCCGCGTCGCCATTCCTTTCTGGAAGTATATAAGCTCCCCGAAGACTTGGCTCCTTGATCAGACCAGGGGCCCTGGCTGAGTTGATGTCACATCCGGTGCCACGGGCATGCTACGTCGTCTCGTCACATCTCGAACGCGTTCGTTGTCATGTTGGACAGAGCCTGCCTTCTGCTCGTCTGATTTCTGGGCGATTGGGTCACTCAACCAGGGGGTCATGGCGCCGCCAGAACTTCAACACCCACATCCCCGGGGCAAAGCGCGAACTCTGCTCAGGGTAGATTGGGCTGCCCGTGGCAAGATTCCCAGAGAGACGCATGTGATGGGCAACGCAAATCATGTTGGTCTATGGAACCGCTGGATGCTAATCTATACCGCGGAGGGCTTTTATAACCCCCCCAAACAACCACTTCCCACACCGTCCTCACTTGAGCTGCTTGAGAGCCAGATCGATGCCCTTCGCAATTGCCGGGCGGGCAAGCAGATTGGCCAGCCACTTCTTGACGTTGGGGAACTCGTTTGGGTTGTAGGTGACCTTGACTTCGGGGTCCATCGGGACCATGGTGATCATGTTCTGCCAGGGAACAAACGACAAGTCGGCGTATGTGAAGCGGTCGCCGACCAGCCAGGGGCCCTCGCCCTCGGGGCCGGCCTCGGCCACGTTGCCCTTCTGCTTGGACAGGTGGCTCTCCAGCACGCCCGAGACGCGGACGATCTCCTTGGTGAAGCGCTCGACGACGGCGGGCACCTTCTCGCCAAAGTACTTTGTGAAGAAGACGGCCTGGCCGTAGTAGGGGCCCTGGCCCGAGACCTGGAAGAAGAGCCACTGGCGGGTCAGGGCGGACTCGTTCGAGCCGGCGGGGAAGCTGATCTTGTTGTCCTTGTCGTAGCGCTCGACCAGGTACTCGAGGATGGCGCCCGACTCCCACACGGTCAGGTCGGTGTTGGGGTCCTGCAGCGCGGGCATGCGGCCGTTGGGGTTGATGGCCAGGAACTCGGGCGACTTGACCTTGTCGAACCCGATCAGCTCGGGCTCGTACGGGAGGCCGAGCTCCTCGAGAGCCATGATGACCTTGGGCGGGTTCGGCCCGGCAACGCCATACGGCTTGAGGGGCTTGAGCTGAGACGCCATGGCCGCGATGTGGGGTTTTGCTGGCTGTGCGTTTTGCTGGCTGTGCGGGGAAGGTATGAAGATGGAGATGCGGGGCTTGGTGGTGCTAAGCGGCGTGATGGAGAGGACAGAGAGAAGAGGGGATGGGTCATGGTAGAGGAACTGTCTGGGACATTTTATAGCAGCAGGTCACGACTCGGTATTCGGGGGGGACTGCCGACATCACAATGCCTTTGGCTCCATGTTAGTCAAACCTCATTGCAACCTTGGTCTGCGGCATGGAATCAACCGTTTCCAAAACACCAATGGCAAGCAGCCGCTGGCCCCTCTGGAGGGGTACCTGCAGCGTTGGTGCTTGATTTCAAAGCATAGAGGAGTGCCAGGGCTGACGGCTGACGGCTGACCAATCCGGAGTTAACCAGTCGGAGAAAGTCAGTCGGAGGGGCGTAATGGATCGTCCCGAGAGATGTCGGAGACAATTATCAATTGAGGTTGGAGGAGGGGAGTCCATTCCATACTCGTAGAATATCATGGAAGCGCGGATTGTGGCCCCTGGTCGACGCGTTTAGTTGCTGCGTGAGGTGGGGCCTAGGCACGTGAGTGCACGGCCCACCCCGATGGATAGAGACCGCCCACGGGGATCGCCAAAGCGTGATACCTCACACAGCTGCAGTGCCTGCATGTGGATCCCAGCACCCCCAAAAACCTTGTTCTCCTCCTTGACCTTGCGCTCGACAAAGAACTGGAACCTCCAAGTCGACCGCCAACATAGCAGTGGCTGGCAGCGGCATGATGGCGTGCATGGGCAGGAGAGATGCCAGGACAGGCGACAGGACAGAAAGCTCTTGGAAAGCCACCGTCTGGAACATGATGCCATTTTGTAAGGCTGCCCAGTCCCAGGCCCGCAATGTGAGATGGCGGTGTGTGGGTGGCCTCGCATTGCCTATTTCTCCATGCTGCCTTGCCAAGTCGCTTTTGCGCTCTTGATGGGGCTGATGGGAAGCTGTGTGAGCTACCACGGGCGCAGATTGTGCGTGGGCGGTTCAGGTCTATCCATCGGGTGGGTCGTGCACTCACGTGCCCTGGGCCCCACCTCATACAGAAGCCAAGATGTCGGCTGTGGCCTAACAGGGATTCGTATTTGGTGGGGATGGTGGCCCCCCTTTCGGCGGCTTCAGGCCAAATACAGCGTGTTGTCAACGGGTATTCAGTCCCGAATGAGCCCCGTGGGGATGTTTACGCGGGCCTGACAGAGCTGTTGGTTGTTCCAACATCGCCATGCCCCTATCTCTCATTTCACGTGTGGATAGAAACCATGGCAAAGCATTACGACATTAGTGCGGGCGACGCTTTTAGCCAGCCTGCGAAGTGTAACTGCATTAGGCAGGTTCGTGCGCCAAGGGAGCCCCACCACCCCCTTCTCCCCAACATCCATTTCGTCACGCTTCCAACCAAAAACATTTGCTGTGGTAAACCCATTCACCCCTTCTCTCGAGGCACGTCCGCCAGCAAGCATGGACAAGTCGGATGACGAGGCTTCGCCCCAGGTAGGTGGATGATGAACTGAACCCCCAGATGTGTCTTTCGGATGCTAACCCAACACGCTCCAGGCGAATGCTGCCGGACTTACCTTGGCGCCTTACTTTGCGGACCCAGACCAACTTCCGGCGCCGTTGCCTACCGAGGGCGAAATCGTGAGCTCCACCGACGTTCTCAAGACCGGATTTGGTCGTCACATCGTTCGTGTCGGCCAACACTTCGTCGTCAAATATGGACCAGGTGTGAGCTTGACCGAGGGAGAGAATATGCTCTTCGTGCGGGAAGCATGCGGTATCCCCACACCGCACGTCTACGCCCTCTACACAAAGACGCAACCGAATGGACGAAAACGCGCTTTCATCGTAATGGAGTACATTGACGGCGAACCTTTGATCTCGCGTTGGGACACCATGAGCAGAGAAGCCAAGTCAGACATGAGCCGACGAATGCGATCGATGCTGGACAAGATGAGGAGTATCCCCTCGCCGGGATATTACGGCTGCATCGGGCGGCGGCCCTTGGAAGACGGCATGTTCTGGACGAGCCCCAACGAGGACCGATCAAAGCTAGCCATCGACGGGCCTATTAACGGGCCTTTCGACACCGAGCAGCAGCTCAACCGCGCCATGATCAACAAGTACCTCCTAATTGGCACCATGCCGAACAAGGCCAAGTTCTACAGCCGTGTCGTCCCTCGCGTCCTTGTCAACCATGTACCCGTCTTCACCCACGGTGATTTGCAGGGAAAGAATATCCTGCTCCGCAGCGATGGCTCGTTGGTTTTGATCGACTGGGAAGCAGCTGGGTGGTATCCGAGCTATTGGGAATACACTCTTGCCATGACTGCCTGCGGGCGCTGGGAAAGTGATTGGCACGAATTTGTCGCCGATATGCTTGAGGAGGAATATCCAACCGAGTACCTATGGTTCGAAATGCTTCTGAGGGAACTGTGGTCTTGAAGTTTTTGAAATATCCTAGCTAGACTACTTAGTGTCCTGGGCGTGACAGACGACAATGAAACATCCAGCCCAAGTACTGGCCACTCTTGTATTTGTCTCTGTGCGCCGTGGCTCAACGCCATGGCCATTATAGCCCTCCAACTTAGAACAAGTGCCAGCTTACTAAAGCCCCGCTTCAAAAGTCTGAGTGCAAACGCGGTTTCCCACCAAACCTTACAATTTTCGAATGCAAATAAATGAATAAAATAAAATTATAAAAATAATCGAAAAAGTAAAATTCCATAATAATTTATAAAATCTTTAACATATATTTTTTTAAATTTTGTAATTTATCGTAAGCTTTTAAAATGCATTTGCTGTTGATCGTGGTAGTGACAGTTCGTAGTTAGTGTCTGAAATCTTTCGCTTGACTTTGAATGGGTATGGCAGCTCCCGCCTCGTTCGTCGTCTGGGCTTACCACCGATTTTCAGGCTGCACCCGTGAGGCATACCGAGCCGGCGGCCGGGAGAACCAAAAGATCATGGAGGGATGGGTTTGCCTGGAGGCGCCGCGGTCTAAACGTCGCGATCGTGACCGCGGCCGGCCGACAACCAACTCGTCGAATGTCACCGCACTTATAGTACATCTCACCGATCCGCTCCGTAGGGGCAAAGGAAATTCCGCTTTGCGAAGAGAAAGTTTGGCATTGCATTCATTTTACCATGTAACTAGAAGAGGCGGCAGGGCAGACAGGCCACTACTGAGGGAACAAGAGGTGTTGACGTGGTAGACGCCGGGTACACCGTCTTGGATGCGGAGGATGCACTCCAAGGAAAACTGCATCGAGTCCGCGAGATGTATCTCCTGGCCGAGGAAGAGGACGGGTACGGGCTCCGAGTCGGAGCCCAGTCCCATCCGCGAGCTGACGGCGTTCGTGGTCGCCGGCACGAAGCAGTACTTGTAGCCGAGCTTCTCCCGGAAGAAGGTGACCGAAGTGTGGAACAGGGCATCCTGGGCGAGGAAAAGGTTTTTGTACCAGGGATTTCGGAGGACGAAGGATAAGTGCTGTAACGGAAGGGCCCAGGACCGCGGCGGCCTGGCGGGTTCGACGCGGTACATGTTCCGGATGTCGAGCGTGGTGCGCGCGAGGGATTCGGAATCCTCGAGCAGAGGCCCGTTGAGCGAGGTCACGTAACCCTGGTACGTCTCCAGGAACGGCGCCACCGTCACGGTTGGCCCGGCTGTTCCCGGGTCGCCACCCGCGGCGTCGGCGACGTGTATGGGGATGAGCTTAACGTGCGCGTAGTCGATTCCGAATCCCTCGAAGATCATGCCGCATCGGCTCGTTCCGAAAGCCTCCTTGAGGATTCCGGCAACGCGGTGAGCCGCCCTCATCAGCTCGGAAAAGGCCGGCGTGTCTATGGAGAAGATGTCGCCGGGCAGATGCTTTCGTGGGGCGAGAATCGTGACGCCGGGGGTGTTGGCGAAAACGGTGAGAAAGGCGACGTGGTGGTCGTCTTCCCACACGCGGCGTTCTGGGACTTCGCCTCGGATGATGCGAGCGAAGAGGCTTGTGTCATCCTCGGCGCCGTCGAACCGGTAGTCGAACGGGGCGGATAACCCGGAGACGGCTTGGATCTTGGAATAGATGTCATCTAGCACGATGGGCAGCATCATGCGTCCGTCCTTTGAGGAGATGTATCCCGGGAAGCTCTTGTGAAACTCCCTCATGCTGTTGACCGGCCTCCAGTCCTCGCCCAGCCCGTGCAGCGGCAGGAGGGACAGAGAACTACCGCCTTCTGCCACGAGCGCGCAGCATTCCACCGCGTGGCGCGCGCAAAGGAGCGACGCTGCCTTCGAGATCTTGGTCAGGACATTGACAAACTCGTCTCGCCCGAGCGAGAACAGGTCCGTGCCGGACTGGACGATTGCCAAGGCGTGCCCCGGCGTCGTAGGGTAGCGGGAGTGGCCGATCAGGAGCTGGCCGTCGTTGTAGAACTGGTGGGACGGGAGGACGGGAACGGCGGTTGGGGCGTCCATCATGAGGGCGTCCATCATGAGCGGGAACTCTGCATGTGGTTAGGCTTGGGGACCGGATTGGGAAAGTGGCATGTCGATATCTGGCTATAAGTGACTAGGATATTAAACATTAAAAGTGCGGAGCCCTCTAGTGGGGTCTGTTAGGGTCAGGGTTCGGAATTGAGTCAGTTAGTCAAGTTACCTAACTTAAGTAACTTGGCAAGTCATTTCAAGCTATTTAGATAAATAGTAAAACATATACGTGTGAAATTAATTAAATAAGAAATTAAATATATATTTAAATACGGAAAAAATTACGCAAATGCATAAATAAATATATATAAAATTAAATAAAAAGTAAAAATTATTATTATTTTAACGTTTTTATTATTATATATATATATATATATATTTATACTTTATTTTATTTATAAAAAAAACCTTAGTGTTATTGCTAAGTGATGCGTAGGGGAAACCTTTGGGTTTGGTTTAAGGAAGAAAACCCTGCGCTTACAAACCGGTGCCGGGTCGGTATTAAACCGCCGGCTTCGTTTATTATAATTCGTTCGATTGTTAATAAATGCTCCGGCAAAAAAGCGTTTTCGTGCCCCCGGCCAAAGGGGTGTAATGGTAAAGTAAAGGTAAGGGTTAATATATGGAAAAATTATAAAAAAAACGTATAAAAAATGTGGCTTTAAAGGAGCGCCATTGCTTTGGGGTAGTTCCGGCGATCGCTATTAGTAAGCGAAAGCTTAATTAACCGGGTAATTATTGCGTAAAGCTAACGCTTTACGCTTTCCGGCCCCGCGTTATGCTTTCGGGTACGGTTTGTATCCGGTATGGTATAGCTTATCCTTTATTATTATTTTTTTTATGTAATTGGGTATTAATGGTTATTTTTATTAACGTTTTTGTACGTATTTTTGTTAGCCCGGTACTTGGTTGTTTCCGTTAGGGTAACGGTGCTTTTTGTATTTGCTATTCGGGTGCTTGTAGCTTTGTTAAAAGTAAATAATTGTATTTAAAAAGTAATTGTGCTTTTTTTTGCCGGCGTAATAGCTCCGGGCGGGTTTAAAAGGGTTGTTTTTTCGCTAGTGCTTTTTTTTTGCTTTGCTTGCTTTTTTTCCTTTTTTTTTTTTTTTTTTCCTTTTTTTTTACTTTTTTTTTTACTTTTTTTTTACTTTTTTTTTACTTTTTTT